TACAACGTATAAATTTGAAATTATGCACTCTATGAATTCAGACATTTAGTAAAAGTCTTGGATTTTTCTCATTAAAAGAGAATGCAATAATACTTAACTAAATAATTGATATATTTAGCGAATTACTAAGCATGAATTAGACTAGAATTCCTTAGCATACTCTAAAATTATGTTTAAAACTCATATCCAAATTTACAAAAACAAATTATAAACCTAAAAGCCATGAAACTGTATATCTATAATGCAAATTATTACTTAGTGTATATCTCTGCTGGAAAAACATATTAAAATATATTCTACTACAAGAGTCATGGAAATATTTGTAAAGGTCTCCAGAAATATTTATCTGGAGGATAGGTTGGTAGTTTGTAGGTACCAAAGAGATGAACTTGCTTGGTAAACAACAGAAGACAAGCAATAATTTGTCAAATACTTTAAGGTTCGATTTGAATTGATAAAATAAATGAAAGCCCATTGGAGCACAGTATAGAATTGACTTTAACAAATACACCTAATATCCACTAAGAGAGTAACCCTTTAACAACTGTAAGAATTATTGAGCAATCTTGTTAGAGTACAAGCTCTGAATCACTAAGGCTACAGTGGGGAATATAATCATTCCTTACAAGGTCTCCAGTGATAATAATACTGGTGACCCAGGATTACAGTTGATAATCTTTAAAAAGAGATAACAGATGAATACAGAGCAAATTACAAGTACTGCAAATGAAAATAACAGAAAGTGGTATCAGTTCAAAACACAAGGAGCTCTAGATTGGACAAAGACAAAGACAAAATTCACATTAAGAAATACTTAGATTCACTAACAAAGATTATGAGAGAAATAACATAAACAGGAATGAGCAAGCAGAAAAGACATATTATATCTTCCACAATACAGCTTCTCACCTAAACAGCAGAATGAGAAAGACAAGAGAAAGTTCCTAACCCCTCACACTCACTTCTGACGGAAGCATAGCTGCACTGCAGCAGATTTATCCGACAACAGGAGGCGTCAGAGGCAAGGGAGCATCTCCCAGGACTGTGGAAAAATTAGCTCATTCTGAGTGTCCTGTGCTCAGATTTTTCTTGTATGAGTGGAAAGCAAAATCTTTAAAATCTTTACAAAATCCAGGCAGTGTAATACTCATGAGTCCAAAACAAAGTAATCAGCAAAGGGCGTAACTTTAGTGAGAAGAAAGCGGGAAATAGAGTAGAGTACAGTCAAATGGAAAAGGAAGACACAAGTCAAGAAAATGGAGACTGGAAAGTGGATGAGAACGGGAAGTGAGCTGTGTTACAGGCATCCACCCGCTGCTCAGTGTATTAATCCAAAGCACTACTACTGATGTACAAACAAGCTGGGAAAAACTCAAACACCTCACCCTTAAAGATTCTGTCCAGCTGTAGAAAAGGACTTCAGTATCAAAAATTTAACCGTGTATTTATATATTTAATAAACACATAATAAACTCGTCTCAGTAATGATAATATTTGATAAAATTTAAGCAGCCATTTATGAATCATAATAGAGAAAAACACTTTGCACCTCAGATATTGAGGTTTCTTTAATGTGAATAAAAGATAATTGTTATAACCTCCCATCAAGAATTGAGTTTATGGATGAAAGTTTAGAAATGTGATGAAGACTTGTAAGAGTCCTCAAACTAAGAGTGATCTATCTTAGCACAGTGTGAAGTGTCTGGCAATAAAGGAGAAGGGGTCAAAGTACACAAATCATCTTTGGTGAGGCAGAATGTCAAGACACTACATTCCTTACTCTCTTAATGGGTGTCGAATTGTTCCTTGACTGCATGTATTCTTAATGTATGGTGTAAGGAAAGGAGCATTGCAGATGCTTGAAAATTAATGGAGATGAGAATGCAGAGGGATGTAGCGAAGTAATTTTTGCTGCATTCGACGGAATCCAAAAAGAGCAGTTGCTTCTTCCTCAGAAGCCACACTTTTATTTTTCAGCTATTTTATTTTATTTTATTTATTTGTAGTTGAGGCTTAATGTGATTTTAGTTCACCTATTTTATTTTATTTTAGTTATAGTTGTTGAGGTTTAATCAAATGATTGATATTGTTTTTCATGTAAGTACAGATAGTTTATTTTCTCCCAGTATAGGAAGGATCACCAATTACACTTCAATATTATTTTAAACTATTGTTTTAAGCAGTAAGATGTTAATTTATTACGTATTTACATTTTATATTTTGGTATATTTAGAATTATTTATTTCATAGAGTTTCTATGAAGGTTACAATTTTCTGATTTATAAATAATTATCTTCTATGGAGTCTGAAAAAAAATATCTCAAGGGAGGAGTATGGTAAAATAAAACTCACTTTACTGTTAGGAAGTAGAATCATTGTGAATAATCAAAATTCTTTTTAATGAGGGAGAGCATATTTTTGTTATTATATTTATTTAGCTAATAATCTTGTACAGTTAGTGCTTCCTTGTGCTTTTCAAAATCATGTTTTCACAGTGATAGGGATATTTAGCAAGTTAATTACATTTCACATATTCAATGCTTTTCAAAGGGTTTAAAATTTTTAAAACTGATAAAATGAAATGACTGAAATTTTTCTAATGTGTATAATTCATTATATTGAGACAGCTTTGTAAAACACCATTTCTATGTATGAGAAATAAATGCCATACATGTGTTTTATTATTGAATCTTATTACTTAAAAGAATGACAATGGAAATATTATTGGTAATTACATATTTCACTTACATAGTGTTTTAAGTTTTTCTAGGTACTTTAAGAATATGAAGAATTTTATTTTTAGCCTTATAGTAAAGTTTAATCCTTTTCTCATTTTTCTACCAGAATCTAATTAAAACTTTTTAAAAACTCTCTTAAAGGAATTAAACTGCAGTATTTTTCTTTCATTTGTTCAATACTGGCATTGTATTTTCCCCTGAAGTATTGGGGTTGAAATCGTGGCCTTCTCACTGATATATTTTATATATATCACTGATATATATCACTGATATATACAAATAAAATTTCCTTTTATTATTTATTTTGAGACATGGTCTATCTAAGTTGCACAAGCTGGCCTTCTGCCTCGGCTGTTAGAATGCTAGGATTACAAGCATAGGCCACAACGCACTGCACCACTTTCTGCATTATTTTTTTTAAAGAAATGTACATTTTGTAACAATTTTATATAGTGTGTTAAACTCTGCTGTGACATCAGTCTTGTGATTGTTGTATCCTTTTAATAATTTGTTTGTATCTTCCCAGAAGAAAATTTCTATTGTAGCATGTTGCTTTTCCACTTTAAAGCTATTTTGCACTTCTTGGTTGATCATTTCAGCCATTTATTTGCTACAACTATTTTTGAAAGGAACGACAGACAAATTTTGTCTTTTAATGATCTGGATTATAGTGATAATTTCAAATTTTCCTAATTTTATTGTTAAGTGTATTCCAAAGACAGTCATTACAATAGTCACACTTTTATTACATTTAATATACTTTTTGAATAACTTTTACAAAGATAATGAGATTGATTTTTTTAAGAAGGAAGTATAAAGGCAATTGGTTACATTATTTTAGAATTATAGGTATAAATTCACACTCTCTGATTTTGTTACCCTCAATGTTTTCATAATTAATTGTACTTAATCACTTACCAAAATTTTAAAACAATATTAAAAGTATATGGGAAGAAATGAGTTCTTATTTATAAGAGAATGCTGATGATAATTTTACAAAAAAATGGGATAAGCACAAAAATCACCATATAATGATCATTCTAATAAATACTGAAGAAGACATAAATTATTATAAAAGCGCTACATGACTGATGTACCAGAACATCTGAAATTATTTTATTTATTGATTGTTCACTAATGGCAAAAGGGAAAAAAATGAAATATTTGGAAAATATCACTTTGAGCAAAGAATATAAATATTAAGTATGGGACCACAAGAAAATTACCAAGGTAATCACTTATTCACTTTAAATGATATACTATTGAGTAGAAAATAATAACATTTTCTTTATTTAGTTTTATTTTAAGACAAAATAAAACAAACTTATGTGACAAAATTTAATAGCAAAATAAGAAAATAACAGTAGTTAATACACTGTGTATCATTATCCTCAAAGTACTGTAGTTAGTCTGAAGAAAAACAAAAAGGATTCTGAGAAAAAGAAACAAAATTAATTAGACACAAAACTTTTTTCAGTGAACTAAGAGAAACTAGTAGTATAAATGCATCAACTTAGCATATATATTAAATTACTTTTTGAAAAATGATATAGGCAATTTGGGAAATTATTTAAGCTTCTTCTCATTTCTTATTTATCTATCTTCTGTTTTGTTTTGTCTCTAACTCTGTCTCTGTCTCTCTATCTCTCTATTTCTCTTTCTACAAATGGACATAAGTATATATTATTAGTTTCCTATATAAGAGAAACTATACCATATGTAACCTTGCGCTTCTGCCTTATTTCAATTAATATTATGTTCTCAAGTTACATACATTTATCTACAAAATCCTAATGTATCTTTCTTCAGGGCAGAGTAGTACTCTGTTGTGTATAAATGTCACACTTTTTTATCTGTTCCTCTGCTGGTGAACATATGTGCTATTTATAAGATCTAGCTATTACAAACTGTATTAAAAGCTGTAATACAGTATTACAAACTATAGTACAAACTCTTTTGGGAAGATGACTAGAAGGGGGATAGCTGGGTAAAATGAATTTCTATTTTCAGTTTTTTGAATAGTCTCCACACTGATTTCCATAGTTGTTTTACTAGTTTATAATTTTATCCTCAATATAGAATAATTCTTTTTTCCTGTAGCCTCACCAGCATTTATTAATAAAATTTTTGATAATGCCTATTTTATCTGGGATAAGATGGTATCTCAATATCATTTTAATTTGCATTTCTTTAGTGAACAAGGCTATTCAAGATCTTTTCATGTACTTATTGGCCATTTGTGAATCTTCTTTTCTGTCCTAGTGGTGGCTTTTCATGGATTTACTGAACCAACGAAGGACCCACTTCCAAGAGGGCTGTTATGCTTTCCATGGATTTATAAGGTAACTAGCACAAGGTATAAAGTGACATGGAAGTAGTACTTGTTTTCAAATCAGAAGTTTTTTTTTTTTCTTTATTAGCATATATAACCTGTAAAAATGAACATCTTTCAAGTGATATTTCCCCTCTTACATTCTTATTTTTCTACTGATAAAACTATTTAAAATTATTACTATTTGAAAATTATTATTACTAACAACAAGCACTTAGACTTTATAAACCATAAGAAAAATAATAAATGGTTAGATCAAATATTTTACTTACAGATATTTACCAAGTACATAACCACTGAGAGTGGATAACCTAAGAGATTGCATGAGCTTTTAACTCTTACACATACTCTATGCAGGTCTCATACTCTCAGTCCCGTGGCGGTAATGTGACTTTAAAATAATGTTATTAAAGTGAAAATTTAAAAGTTTTGTATTAGCAACTAGAAATGAGTTTCAGGGAATATTCTTTGTTTTTAAAGCCCAAAATTTAATAACTGTTAGTATAAACATTCCCAACTCACAAAAAAGAATAAGTTACTGCAAAAGGCTGATTTCTGTTCTTCAGCTCCATTGACCCATGATGTCAGTTTTTACTGTACTATTCCAAATCCTTACATAGAGGGATGCTACTTGATCTCCGACTATGGTCTGACATAGATGGATATAAAAGCATTAGCTGGAAACATTTCAAATTTTCATAACCAACTGGTGGTAACGAAATAAAAAGGATGAGACTAGGACACTCATGAATAGTGGCATAGCGTGGGAACATCAATTAACAAAGACAAAAAAAGACTTTGATATTTTCCTAATAATATTAAATAAGCTCCCTTAGCAGGAGCTAGTGTATATTTTATGAGCAGATAAAATATTCCTCTATATCATAGTGATCTTACAAGGCTAAGCAATTATGTCTTAATGTTTTTATTTCAGGTTATTTGATCTACTTTTTGCCTAATTTCTAGAACTAGCAGGAAGCACAGGAGCTGTCATGGGAAAATTGGAAAAAGATTAGGCTTTGGAATTCTCTCACCATCTTGAAATGTCATGTGCATCTTGATGTTCCAAGTGCAGCTTTGTTCTAGGACAGCTCACAATATGCAAATGAACAATTCTGGATTCACTGAAAAGGAATAATGATGGCAGAGAAGTACAGAGCCTAGGATAAAATAAAGCCAGAGATACAGAATACATTTGAGGAAAAAAGAACCAAGATTCAATATATTTGAAAAGTATAGACTCAGATGATAGGAAAAGGGTTCTTCTCAACATAGTGCAATGAAATAAGGCTGGAAGGATCCCTACATTGTGAAACTATTAAATAGAAAAGTAAACTTCTAACAATAGTGTTGTGAAATGCATAACTAAGCTCAAAAGACGCTAAAAGGAAATCAATTCATATTAAAAATATAAAGAGCATAAAGGAAATGGCTAGAGTCTATATTTTAACTTTATTGAAAAAGTGTTTCACTCATAAATCACAATAAGGAAATCAGTCAAGCAACAGACCTTTGTATGCAACTAAAGACAGGAAACTGACAACCTTGCATTAAATATTTACTAAAGAAATGCTAGATCACCTCTGAAATAAAACTATAAATATTTACTTCAATTTTGGGGAATGAAGTAAAAAATTAACATGCTTAAAAGGACTTCAATATGTATTCTACATTATGTAAAACAGTTAGTTCACAAAATTATATATAGAAATTTTTGATGAACTAATCTTCAAGTTGGCACTGCAGCAGGATACAAAGTCAACACTCAAAAATTGAAATTATTTTAGAAAGTGGTCTGAATTAAAGCAAATCATATGTATTAAAAAGCATAAATATTTTCTAAGAAATTTTCACTCCACGTCTCTCAAATGCAATAGAAAACAAGGTCCGGGGTAGGGATTTAGCTCAGCGGCACAACACCTGCCTGGCAAGTGCAAGGTCGTGAGTTTGATTCCCGGTACCAGAAAAACAAACAAACAAACAAACAAACAAACAAAAAACAACTTCCGTGATTCAAGTTAAGTAATAGTCAGAGCTAGAAAATGCATACTATGAAGGAAACATTATAATAATCATAAAATACTCAAAGTGAAGAATCAACTGAGAGCCATGATAACACATCAAAAATGAGACATTGTAAGAGCTGATAATTCTGTAAATCAAAATAGTCCTTGACTTAAACAAAAGCATAATAAATACAGGGTATGATAAAAAGTGCAGGAAGAGCTGCGGCCAAGTGTTCTCCCAGGGAAAGGCAGGCTCCTGGAAGCAGAGAAGTGTGTCCACATCCACATTATTCACCAGGCTTGGCACCATAACGTGCCTGGCTCTTCCCCCAGGTCAGGAAGCCCATAAAAGTTACATGCTTTGAGTTCAGGATGCTGAGAAGTCAGGCCATCCAATGGGAGATAACTATGAAAGCTAACGCTGGGAATCATTTCAGCATGTGGCAAGTTCAACGGGATAAGTGAGATTGAATGATAGACAGACAGTATATTTAGGGGAATTAATGACAATTTGTCTCTGCTCTAAGAACTCTACGAAAATTAAAATGTAATTGCATTCTTTGGCCCTACTTCTTAGGCAGATACAACCTGTGACGGGATGTCAGCTAGCAGAATAAGTGAATTGACGGTAAGATGAAGAATTTGAAAAGATAAAAGTCCTAGGTGGGATGGACAACACAGTCATGTATGATATTTTAGTTTTTTTGTATAAGCTTTTCCTGGACTATGAAATCAACTTGGAACAATTCTAAATGTACCTCTATCTTCCTTCAGTTTTCCTTAATTGTTCTCAGTACTTCTAAAATGGCACAAATTTAAAAACTTGTGCACCGCTGTTGTGGACCTCTTACTGCAGGGGCCCAGGGAAATAATTGCCATCCTGGGAGTCTCTATCATTAAGCAGTCTCTATCCATTGTCCTCATCCCTTGGAAAGTTCTTTGAAGATTTGCTCTGAGAGGAATTGCTCACCACAGAGAGAGAAGCAGGGCAGCAGAGGGTGTAACTCAAACAGCATGTGCCCACAAGGGACGCCAGATAAACTCTCCTAATTTCGTGCATTCTATGGGATGATAATTTTTGAAGAGGGGATTAACTAGAGGCAGGAACTTTGATTAGAGTTTAATATGATCACGTAAAAATGCACATAATTGTAGGGGAATTCAAGGACCAAGTCTTCATGTAAAAATGAATCCTGTTGACATTGTTTCATTTTATCATTTGATATAAACATTAAGTAATGTGCTAAGTGTTGGCACAAAGAGATAGAGTAAGGAAGAGTGTATGTATAACATAGAACATAGCACAGCAAAGGCCCAGAATCTGAACTGAAGATTGAACATTGTTCTTACATTATATTACAACCAAAAGTGGAGTTGTAGTGTTAAGAAATTATACAGGTTGTTTGAAAGACAGAATGCAGCTTTGAAAAAAATATAAGAATATAGAGACAAAAATTAAGGGCTGATAACATAGCATACAATAAGAAAAGCAGATAAACAAGGAAATCTAGAATTCAGAAAAATACATTTTGATAAAGAGAAGTATAATCAAAGGATTGGTTGTGATGGATTGAGGAACGTAATGCAAAATACAAGAGCATCTCATCAAATCCTGAAGTACTGTATGAAAGAGGAATGGGAGTAGAGAAATAGTTTAGGCAAATAATAACAGCAAAAATATATTATTGAATGTAGTCATTGAATATCCTTTGTTGACCTTTAATTGGATACTTTCGGGAGTAATGTCCTCATGCTACTTTTTAAAGTTAAAATGTAATGTTATTTTCATCCAAAAATGCTTTCTTCCTGTCTTTGTGAGAGTATGACAGCAATGAGCTTCTAGAGGGGCTAGAGGGGTCGATCTTTTATTTATTTTGTTTTGTATTGTGCCTGCTTGCCTCTGTAACCTAGAATTTATTAAAATAGATATTAATGTCACAAATGCTTTGCTGCTATAATAGAAACCTAAAATATACGGTACTGGAAGAGAGGTCAGGCAGTGTACAGCTGTAACGTTTGAAAATCTGATAATGCTTGTTTTGCAACTTTAGCTGATAAACTGTCTTCAATAACATGAAAAGCAGAACACATAGTTACTGAGGCTGTGCCTTTAGAAAAGTATTTAAAAAAGGTCATAATGCCAACGTATATTGTCTGTTTCTTGCTGCTATGTGCAAATTACTACAATAAAGAGAATGCCTCAGAAAAAGTTTAACAGAAGCCAATATAAAGGGTAAAGTTCATAAATATGGGCCTTTGCAGAATTAGACAATCTATTTCATTTTTTTACCCTCAAAATGGAAATGAAAAAGTGTCACTCAAAAACATTTATCAAGGTTTCTCATTAAGAATTCTAAGGCAAGAAAATGTATCTAAACTCGTATCAAACATCAAGTGAGGTATGTTGTCTTTCACTCTAAGCTATGAAGAAAAATATAAGAAATTTCACTAAAATAGGGTAGGAAGAAATGGGCACACAGAAGCTAGTCAAAAGTCAGAACAATTTCTAGAAGAGAACACTGTGATTCTCTGGTTTGTTTCATTTTTGTGCTGAGGAAGAACAAATAAGCTGTGAGTCTAACAAATTACAAAGAATTAATAAACTGCCCAAAGAAATCTGATCCTTTATCTCCAAAGGCAGACTCTCAGATTTGGAACTGCAAAACTTAGCTTGTGAAATTATGGAATCTCCAAGAAAAAAATAGACTTCTGCTTTATCTATGGCCCTGAAGCTGATAAAGATAACCGAGAACCTTCAGGAGGTGAAATCCTGTGGCAAAGAACACAGACAACAACGTGCCTCGTATCATGCAGAACCTCCATGCAACCAGGGAATTTATTCAACATTCAACGAAGTCTGCTTGTATCATTTTCCCATGAGGTACCTGTCATTTTTATGGGGTTTTCATGCATTTCCCATTCTCTTTGCTGAGTAAATATAATTAATTAATTAATTAACTTTTGCTGCAGGTATTATTTTATTCCTGTTGTACCATCCTTGGGTTCAGGCATGAGGGCCTGCTGCTTTGGACTCCACGTTTTGGCACACATGGCTCCATGTCCTCAGATTGACCCAGATCACCAAGGGTAGAATTAAACGGGTCATGAAAACCCCATAAAAATGACAGTTACTGGCTGCACTGATCCACATAGCCCCTAAGCCCAAGAACCAGCCACGTGCAGCTGTTCAATGGAGGAATGAATATAATTGGAATTTTCGGGATGTGTCACCATGCAGTTGACCATAAGAGAGAGCTGTGAGGAAAAGCAAAGGTTATGCCTGATGATTAGAAGGGAACACCTTTCTCTTTGTTACATTTTTAAAATTTTATCCTAGTACATGTTTGCAGTGCATAATGATTACATCCGTCCTGAAGAGTTAGTGCAGGTATAAAATGCAATCTAATTCTTCTTAGGTCCCCTCCCCAGCCTTTTGCTCAAGAATATTATAGAATCAAAAATAAAAACAGCAAATCAAGGAATCTGAGCATTCTAAGTCTTTCAGAAAAGGTGGATAGAAGATATTTTATTTGACCCTTCATTTGCCTGATGTATAACATTGAAATATTTAGGTTGTCTGTGTGGGATGATGTAAGAAAATGCCATAATTAAATAGTTTAAATTAATAGAAATATTTTTTCAGTTTTTAATTTTTTTAGTGAGTGTTTACAGTGCATAATGACTACATGCTTGATGCTGATTCAGTCCATGTACAGAACACAGTTTAATTCTTCCTGCGTCTCTTTCCTTTTTTCATCTCCTTCCCTTTTTCATAGTTTTGGGGTTTAAGTTGATTTGTGCTGTTGCTCTCGCTAAGTTCTAACGCATAGCACTTTGCACCATTGCACCTGGTGGAAGATGTTCTGGCTCACAATTTAGTCCCTGAACAAATGCCTCACCTTCTACTACTATCATATTGGAGATTAGGTTTCAACATAGGATTTTTGGGGAGTGAGACAAACATTCAGATGATAGTATAGGTGTACGATAGGCAGTCTCCACTGCTATATTACTTTTGCCCTCATGAATGTTGCAATACACATGAGCATGTCTGTGAAAAGAGAGCGTAGATATAAAAGCAGGTAATGTTTCTATTACAGTGTAAAGTTGCCCCTTTGTAAGATCAGTGATTAGACCTAACTGATAGTCCTGAGTATTCTAAGCTTTAGGTGGAAACAGCCATAGGATCAGGCCCTTGCTTTTGTCGTTGGGGAAGAGAATGACTTTAATTTGTTGAAAGAAGGGCACACACTAATACTTGGAGGGCATAGAGAGCGCTGGTATTCTGGTAGCTGTTCCCTCCAATCTATATCCCCAGTTTTGTTGGCAGCATGCATGTGGTTGCACAGCTGTGAGCTGCTTTTCTCCTCCTCACCTGTGTAGTGATGTATCTGAATATAAGTTCATACCAAAGAAACGTAGGCAGGAGGGGAAGAGCACGTTTGTGCACTAGATTTCTTTGTTCACTAGCACTTTCTGCCTTGTGCCTTCCTGCAGACTGAAATGTTGGTGTGGGGGACATACAGCATCAATCATGTTGATGAGGACAACACATAAGCATATGATGGAATGTATACAGGATAAAAACCAAGTCCTGAAGACAACACAGAGGGAAAGCTGCCTCATCTTCTAGGTTGTCTGGGCTTTTAAGTGCAGTATGCATAGTGAAAAATTCAGCACTTTTTCAGCTCTTTGGCCTTTATGCTAATGACAATGTTTAGAGCTTTAAAATTATGTGCAGCCATGGTGATGCATGCCTGTAATCTCAGCACTTGGAAGGCTGAGGCAGGAGGATAGCTGAGTGTTCAGTATCTGTGTAGGCTATGTAGTGAGTCCAAGGCCAGTCTGAACTACATAGTGAGACCTTGTGTCAAAAAAACAAAAGAGAAAAAGTAAAACAAGAACATTTGGCTAATTATTTTTCTTTTAAAGTAAATGTTATAGCTATTATTTTATTTTTTATATATATTTATTTATTTATTTTTGGTCCCGGGGAGTTGAATTCAGGACCTTATGCTTGCCAGGCATGCACTTGTGCCACCAAGCTATCTTCCCAGCCCTGTATAGCCATTATTTTATAAAGAAACTACTCATTTATTGTTAAATAGAGTTGATAAAAGAAAGATAGATGATTGTATAGAAATAAGTCATAGTATTTTCAGGTTTTTTTTCTCACATAGTTTCTTACTTGCTTAAGAAAAAAAGTTAATCAGAAATCTGAGAAAAGGCAGGTTTACATAGTTACATGAGATCCCATCATGGATATTTTATTCAGCTACCATAGAAATGATATATACATAATACTATGTAGTGTATATGAAATAACATACATGATTTGCATAGTGTCTTTGTTACTTTTCTCTCCTTGCTGAGACAAAGTACTGGACCCCCAAAATTAAGGAAAGAAAGGTTTATTTAGCTCACAGTTCATAGAGATTTGAGTCTATATTCAGCTGGCTCCAAGGCAGAGTGGCACATGGCAGAAGGCAACAGTTCATGGCAGCAGAAAACAGCAAAAGCAGGAAGAGAAAAAGGCAGGAGCTGTGGGAAAAGTGCACCTCTTTCCCTCCCTTGTATTGTATGCAGGCTACCTACTCCAGGGCTGGTGTAGCGCTCACACCTGT